GTTTTGTGCAACGTTCACGGCAGTCTTGAACATGAAATTCCAAAGAGAAGCTTCCTGTCACGAAGAGCTATCGATGGCACCAGGGGCAGGTATTGCTCGTTCGTTCGTTTCGTTTCGTTTCATTTCGCGTGTATTCACACGCGGATGCGTGCGCGTACGATTAACCAGCCTATGATGTCGTTCCAGGAAGTTCTTCGATCCGGAAGAAGAGGGAGCGTTTGACAGTTATGGATCTGCAGGTGGCCAGTACGATCCTTACGAGGAGAAAACAGGTAGATTATTTGTATCGTGTTTTTCCTTTTTTTTTTTTTCCTGCGTGGAATTCTTCGCTAATTAGCGCCAAGTGGTCAATTTCAACGGTGTAATTTTGAACCAATTAACAGTAGGATCAACCGAATTTGTCAAAATGATGGATCTTAAATTTCTTCTTTGTCACGGCAAACGTATTGAACGTGTTTGATTAACTAATTTGTATAGAATGTTAAATATGTTCGGATGTAAAATGTATGAAAAAGAGTTTTGAAGAATATATACATATATGTATGATACATATCATAACATGTAGTTATAATAATATATAATATATAATACATACAACATAATATATATACACGTAACATAATATAATACATAAGACTATAGAAAAATATTAATTAAACAAGTAGCTAATATAAATCTAGCTAATATGAATTTAATTAAATTATTAATACTTAATAATTCAATCAGTAGTACCAATGAATTGATAATGAATTTATTTTATATTAGTAAAAACGAAATAATTTTATGCAGAAAATTATACAAATTTTTACATATGAGAGTAAAGGATTAATTGTCTCTCAAACTTTAAATTACGACAAATATCGAGATACTGTCAGCCACCGTGATAATTAATGGTCGGTGAACAATGCCACGAGACAAACAAACTTGGTGGCATTATGAATAGAAAGATCGTTGATAGGAAACGACGATAATCGTCTCCAAAGTGATCTTATGAAAATAATCAGTCGGTGAATGGGAAGGGGGTCAAGGAATCCCTTCGTTTCTCGCAGTTTCCAATATTAAAAACAACTGAAATTGTCTTCCTATTAGATTCCAATTCCATGGAAGAATTCTCATTAGCGTTTCTCAATTTTCCATTTTCCATTTTCACCTTTGTGCGTTAGTTATTTCATACGTCTGTCCCCGGCAATTAATAACTCTTGACACCATTCTTAACCATTGACACGATCGTCTCAATTGTAGTTTGCAATTAACATACAACGTTGTTGTACGAGTGTGCAGGCAAAGGACTAATAAAAAGGATTGGCAATATGTTAATTCTTTGATGCTTAGGCAGTAACGTTATTTATCTTTCTCCATTTTTATGACCGATTACGCGTTGACACCAATTCTGTTCATTAATGCAAAAATAGAATTGCTGTTTATCGTTGTTATTATTTGTTGTTTGTTAGATGATTTATATAAATTTTTCGTAACGATAAAAAATCATTCAATTCAAATGATTAGATAAGATGCAAATTTGTATAATCTCTATCAAAGAAATTCAAGTGTTAGAAATGATAGAATTTTTATAACGAAATAGGGAACATTTTATTTGCCTATTTTACAAAAAATCGCTCAAAATTTTTAAAACTTCATAGTTGCAAATTCACAGAAGTTTCTATTTTAAAAAATTCGTCACTTTGACAGCAATAATGCTATTCTGATATTATGTAAATTCTTGGTGATTTTTGGGGCTTGTTTAACTTTTCTAAAAGTGTCTTAATATTTATAAATATATCTATAAGAATATAAAAAAAATTCGTTGTAGCAATTGTAGTAAATACAAGCACGAAGAAAATGAAAAAAAAAAAAAAAAAAAAAAAACAGAAAGACTTGATTACAATTTCATGTTTTTATATTGCACCTACATTTCAAAGCAAGCCGCTAATCTCTTTCTAATAAGTAGAGAAATCTTTAACACAGGGTATAATCAATATAATAATAACATTGATTCGAAGAATTTCTCGCTACGAAGGTCTATTAAAACGAGATAAATTACCACCTTTGGCATTAGCTACAGAAATTATGAGAAAATCAGTAGGTGAATCCAAATTGCCAAAGTCTCTGAAGAATACGAACTTTCTTCTCCGAAGAAAAAAGACTCTAACTATCGACATTTTACAAGTTCTCCTCTTCCTTTTTATATTTTATTCATCTTATGAAATACGAACCTTCATGGATCATTTCAGCATGTGCAAATTTTTAACTTAATATTTAAAAGAATTAAAGATAAAGTATAAAGATTTCGAAAAACACGGCGATGTTTCTTACGTTTGCTTGGAAGAAATAAATGAATCGCAGGAAAAAATCACGAGGTTTATTATATGTGTAATACAGCTGCTATAGTTACGTCTATAAACAATCAAGTTATATTGGTTCAGTATATTATAAATTATAAACATTTTAATTTCCTCAAATTTTTTCTTCACTGAATTCCTTCCATTTCCCATCTATGTGAAGATAATTAAAAAATTAGAATCTAGCTAGCTTCGATTTGCCTATATAATGTAATATTTTATTATAATTTATTATTATGATATTATTACACAATAACAGATGTTTCATTTTGAATATTTATATTCATGTACATACATTATTGTCATTATTTTCATCTGTTTCATTCTAATTTTCCATCAAACACATCAAAACTCGCCAATTAAGATTCATGATATCCGAGACCATTCTTTTTCCATCTTAAAAATTTAAGACATCGAGATGGATGTCTGTGATTAATAGTATACCTTAAATATCGAGTGATAGACGTTCTATCGTTAGGTTGCAAAAAAAACAGGACTCCCGGGACGAGAGTCGGTTATGATGTGGCGTGAAAGGCAATAGGTATGACGTGCGGTGGAAAAATCACGGCAGATAGGTCACGTGAAACCTTTCGCGGATTACAAGAAGCGAACCGGAGGAATCACTTGTGGCGCCGCGAGCCGATTGATCACGTCCTTTTTAAATGTCACACGCGCACAATTATCTTGGCGAGGTCCTTTTCGCGACCTTGACTCGACACCAGCCGTCATCGCGCCGCTTTGCGCAAGACCTGACACGTGACAATTCAGTTTCTCCGCGTGAATTTCGTGTTATTTGAATTTCCAATCGTCCTCATTTACAATATATTCGTAGTTCTTTTTTTCCTGCGGATCTCTACGGATTTCTCAATACTTTTCTTTTTTTTTTTTATTTTCTCAACATTACGATTACCGATCATCAAAACGTTGAATTTATTTCCAAGCGAGAAGAATAAAGAGAAGGTTGAAGAATGATCCAGGCTTTTATTTACATATTTTTAAAAACTTAGATACTTTTGTATATACCTGATTAATACATCTATGAGATTATAGATAAATTATAAGTAAATTAACGTGAATCTATGCAATTTTGATGAAAAGTCATGAATTTAAATTTATTTTGAAACTGATTAAATGTAAATTTATGTAATTTAAAATGAAGTTTGAAAATGATTCTGGTTCTAATATTCTTAATTTTTAATGGCTGGATCAGTTTTAATTTATACACATTTTCACATTTTCCAAATTTTACCTTTACATATTAACCATTATGTATTTATTACTATGTTTATTATCATATTAAATTTGAATACAAGTAGCTTTATTATACTGATCAATGATGTCTAAAGAAAAGAAAATTTTACGACAAAACTGAATTTATTGCTCTATTTTTGTCTTTTTTAATTACTGGAAATTTCCACAATACACAATATTTTAATTTCTTTCGGTTTCTCATTACTTCAATTTCATTTTCCTTTTTCTCTACAAAATTAACGAATTAAATTCTTGCGGAACTGATTGCCACGCCCACAAATAGAACACGAATAATAATTTTCGAAAATAATTTTCAATTGAAAGATTGTTTAGGCTTTGCTTATTGAAAGGTGTCGATAAAATTTCGTATACGTGTCTCTTTGTTTGAAATTGATATTTCAAACAAACGCAAGTGTATTTGATCGAGCAAACAATTAACAGACCATTCACAGTCATCGTAACATTTACTACAATTCAGGATGCATACCTTTCATTCTCAATACATATGAGCGCAGTCTGTGCCCAAAGTTCAACGAAATGTTCGCAGCAATTCAATGATATTTATTTAATGTCGTAAAAATAGAATGATCTGTGGATAGTCGGGACATTCTTCAGAATTTTTCATATTATTATCTACGTTGCCATTCATTTCGAATATTTCGTCGATCTCCATTGACGCTGAACTTGAATGTAAAATCAACCACATCACTTTCCCATCTAATTCATTTGCGTAGTATTGTGTCACTCAATACAATAATGTTTGTTAATTCGACACTGTTTGTTCGACCATTAAGACGCGATTGTATTCTTTTTTAGATTTGTCAGATATCAGGAGGAACGTTCCAGGAGAACCAGGTGTTGATTACCCGGCATACACGACGCTTCCTCAGACCGGGTTCACGTGCGAGGAACGCTCACGAGGTGAATCATACATTATCTATTCATACATTTTCGTTAAATTGCAATTTCTTTTTTTTTTTTTTATCTAAATTTCGACTCTTAAATATTTAATATCTGAACTTTAATATTAAAATCATGAAATGTTGCATAAATTTAATGATATGTACGTACACACACATAAATATTAAATCTTAAATATTCAACGTTTAAACTTTAATATTAAAATCTTGAAATGTTGCATGCATTGAATACAAATATATATATAATAAATTTTAATATGTATATATGTATATATTAAATTCTAATATTAAATATTTAAATTTTTGAAAATATGAATATTACGAATAAAATTTTAAAATAAAATAAATTATTACAAATGAATATAAATATTATAATTGAAATTTGTATAGATATTAAATTCTAATATTAAATGTTAAATATTAGAACATTATTAGATTGCAGATTTATAGAAATTTATACAAAATTTGAAGACACGAAACTGGATTTGCAAAAAAGGATGTTTATATTGTATAATTAACAGATTATCTATTTAATTATCTCAGAAGAGATAATATTGGAAGATAGAAATATCAAAATTTACAATTAATTCTATTTGTATAACTAACAGAGTATCCATTTAATCATCTCAAGAGATAACATTGGAAGATAGAAAATGTCTGCAGTATTTAACTAAATAGGTAATACGAAATTCAGGAGAGTACATTTCTTAGATGAAATTCAATTCCTGAGAATGAAACTGACATAAATCTACAGTATATACCTATTATCCTTAATTTCACTTCATAATGCTTCACTACATATTGAAGAAGAGATTCTATTAGAACAGCTAATGTAATAACGTCAAAACTAGGCAAGTTTCACAGAGCAATCAATGATATGACTGCTTGATCTTAATCATACTGATCGTAGAAACGTGTTTGAAACTGGCATATGTATTAATAAAATCAACAGATTGGTCAAATTGCTTCTGACAGAGTTCATAGAAATGAAATTGAACATATTAATCATAAACATCATACATCAGCCTAAAAAAGCACTGCCTTCTGTATAGCAATGTACATAGAATATTTTTAAATCAATTTCCTTTTGGATGTCAAAAATTGATTTTAAACCAAATGTGTTAATATTTGAATAATAAGAACAATCTAGTTAATTCACCAATCAGTCCATCAATAATATCAAAAAATCTTGTTTTTTTAATTAATATCAGATAACATTATTATCATTAAAAACGATTATTATTATATTATATTAACATCAAATGATATTAATCATCAAACTAACAATAAAACAATTTAATATTAAAATAGTGTAACCAATGTGTAATCAAATATACTATAGCATATAATTGTAACTAATCTGTAAATAATCACAACTGATTGCAATAATTGTAATCAGTGATTGCAACTAACAATAATAACTGTAACAAACGTTGATCTTAAACTCCATCAATTCAAACCATTTTTCTCTTCAGAAGACACGAAAAGCAACATGCGTCCCATTAATGATCCAATGGTCCGTCCAAGCTCTATCTTACGATCGATTACCATTGTTTTACACGTGTTCTCCACGGTTTTCCACGTGGAGCATTGATGTCAAGGATGATTCTCACGTATACACGATGCCAGCACGTGCGATCTGCGAAATCCATTCGTAGTGTTTTCTTCGGTTTTGCAATAGGTCACCGTCCCAACAGCCGGAGGGTGAAACTTGTCGCAAAAATCACACGAAAATGTTTGCCGATGTACTTTTCACCTGGAAAGGCAAATGTTTTGCGAACGTTCAACGAAACGTTGTTTATCTTTCTATCTCCCGTGCCTTCGTACGAGTGAGTCCACCAATGTATCTTCTTCTTGCGTTCTGCGAGGACTTTCGATTCGCGGAACGTTCCGAGCAAACGTTTCGAGAGAGATGTAACAAATAATTGACACCATGGTACTTCAGGTTGATAAATACACAATGACATTTGATATAATAAGTAATAAATTTTCTATACGAATTTCAGATCGTTCGTTCTCTTGACGTAGATTCTCAAAAATGTAATTGAAACTTCAATGAAATTTGTATCTACTGTATTTTAAAGAATTTTTAATAACTGGTAATTGAGACTTTATTGCCAAAAACTTTTGATCAAAAATCAAACAGTTTATGAATATCAAAGATTTCTTGATTAAATTATCACATTAAATTCGAGATCAGATTCAGATTAAAATAAAATTCGTTAGAATCATTAGAGACTTTCCAAAGCATTTTTAATAATGCACGCTGTATTTTTAACTTAGGGATTTTTGTTATTAAAATTGTTAAATCTTTTAAATCTATTCATGAAAAATTAAAGAAAGAAATTTGACTTCTTACTTTAAGTCAGTTTGTAGTAGATTTAAGTCAGATTAATAGAAATCGAAATTTATAAAATTCAGAGAAATATTAGAAATTATTGAGACTTGAGCAAGAACGAAATGTTGAGTTTCATTCACAATGTCAAAAAGAAAGTTTCGAAAAATACAGCGAACTCAAGTTTATCTATTTTTCTCACGAAGAGATTGACGAAAGCTTCGTAATACTCAATTTTTCTTCAGGATGTAGAAAGCGTCTAATTTGTTACATACAAGAAGTGGTAATAGTTGTATTTTGCAACTAGAGACTGAAATACAACAATAATCATACTGTTCATCATTGTATGTTGTCGTACAGTATGCAATCGTACTTATTAGGGTAATATCGAGCGTACAAATCATCGTGCAGACTAGATGAAATAAAAGAAGTGGAGAATAATGGTTGAGATGCAACACAACTTGGCTATTATAAAACATAGGTCGATTGTGCAACTTTCTAGTACAGCGTTCAGATTCTAACCGAAAGATAATGGCAGCTCCTTCTTCTCTTACAAAAGTGTCTAAGGTGTAATTTTGACATAATTATTATTCTCAACTCTTCTTGATATACCTGTAGCATCGAAATTGTTTTTTCTTCCTTTTCATTTGATTTTAAAATTAAATACATATCTTTGTCATTCTCTCGAATATTTTAAATATTAAGAATAGAATTTATGCGAATTCTTTGGAATCACTACTTCACGTGAATTTATAACTTATTTTTCAAGAATTCGTGTTATACAATCTTTAAAGATTATCTATCATTCTTGTTTGTAGAACATTCATTTTTATATTGTTTATATAGAACATTATTATCTTATATAAGATTACTTATATCATTAATTTTTTAAAACTACTATTGCGTGTATTTATTATTTATTCTTAGAAAATTCATACAATTTATACAATTTTTAGAAATCATTTGTTTGCTTTATCAAGACTAAGAATTATTTATCTTATTGATCGATTTTAATTCCTAAAAGCTACTATTTTAAAAAATTCACATCGTATAATTTCTAAAAGTTATTTATCTGTTTCTTTATTATTCACAGTCTATTTATCTTATCATTATCTTGTACAAGATCAGTTGTATCTTTAATTACTCGAAACTATAATTAACCACTTCCAGAAAGTTAATATCTAATCTATCTCCACAAAAATCATTGATTACTTTTCATCAAAATAAAAAAGGCTCTCCTCACACATTTCTCTTATAATTTTCATGCATCACAAAATAATGTTTCCTCAGTTTCGTAATTCTTCGCTGTGAAAATAATGCACACAGTTCGTTGGCAATATCGTGCATAAACCTAATTACCATCACGGACAACGTCGTTTAGATAAGTGGCGGGAATTTGAACCAGTTCCAAAGGCAAAAGAAAGTTCAGTCTTCGTGTAGTATTCTGTTATATGGTTTCTTTATTGAGCAATGCCCTGATAATGTTGTATACTTATACGATGTTCCTTGGAGAAGCAACAGAATGCCGGCGAAAGCGGCTCGACAATAAAATAAAGGCCAGACGGATAATTCAAACGATACTGGCGCGAAGCAATCGCTGTTCGAAAGCTTAGCATGCTATTATTCAGCTGATTACAAATCGGCCGCGTGTTTGACTTTTGCCAATGGAAAAATAGTGAAAGACTAACAGTAGTTGTATTGTGTTATTGGCCTGTATGGAAATTTCTGAATAAGAAGCTCTTTCCTGCTTCTCTGCTGTTAGTATTTTTTTATAATTCGGAACAAAGAAGATGAAAGAAGCTAAACGTTGGAATATTAAATATGCTTTTACACTGAACTTGATATTAGTTCATATTTTTATATGATGAAGAATGAAGAAGAGGAAGGAAATTGAACGATTCAGAACAAAAAAAAAAAATGAAATTAAACGTTGAGATATTAATTGTATGAAAAATATGAAATTTCTTATTGTTACACAGTTTATTAGTTAGATAGTTGATATTTTATACGAGTTCATATTTTTACGTAATAAAGAATAACGAAGACGATAATTTATTCAATTTTCAGGAAGTATTAACATATAAAATTCATAAAAGAAATAAAGATAAAATAAAGATTTATATTACGCGTTATACAAAATATTTTGAAATTTCACGAACACTGTAACGAGAGGTTTAAAAAATGACAGAATTTCCCATCCTATGGTATTGATTGATTGGAGTTCTGATCAGTTTAATTAATACCAAATCTCAAATACAATTCTAAAATAAAATGAGGGCTCTTTTGAGCTTTTCTCTTTTCTAGAAGAAACCTCGGTAACTACCATGGTTTTTATGCCATCATAGATACAGCACATATCCATTCTCTCTCTCTCTCTCTCGTCGAGTGGAGTCGTGACAAACGAAAGCGATTTAATTGAAATTTCCGATCGAAGTACCCAGATCGTGTCGCGATGGACACTGGCTCTTATATCGCGGAAGGAATCATGCCATTAGATAATTCAAGAAGTGAGAGGAGGAGAAAGAAAGATGTTGAACAAGTATAGCAACGAGGCTTCGTTGTTCGTTACGTAACGTGCATCGAACGTAAACATTTGCTTGCTGCACGATAATTTTCGATGGAAAAAGCAGAGAAATGGTGCTGGTTCGATCATTAAGATAAAGATCGATAGAAAGCAGGCGTGCTAATTATCGATTGAGTAACCAATTCAATTATTTATATTTTGTTTTATAAATTACTGTTCGGCAACGTTGAAATTTCTTTGTAACATATCATTACACTAATCGGTCATTTCAAAAAGATTGAGGATTTGAAAAATTGAAAATAGAAAATTCCCCTCTCCATCTAATATTAAACATATTAAATTACCCATTAGAAGATTACTATATTACTATAAAAATAATAAAATAATTTCAGAAATGTCTCGAGAACTCAAAGAACTAAACACTCTCATTTCCCATCAGGTTACTACGCGGACGAAGTGGCAGGATGCCAAGTGTTCCACGTGTGCCATGACGTGTTGGTCTCCTCTTTCCTCTGTCCGATAGGCTCTATATTCAGTCAAAAACTGCTCACCTGCGACTGGTGGACCAAGGTGGACTGTTCAGCCAGCAGCAAATACATAGACGTGAACCGTGATAGCTACCAGCAAGACGACGACGAGATGATCCGCAAAGCTTACGCCATGGTCAGCCTTCAGTCAGGGACAGACGTGACGAAGGATGGCCTGGTGGATCCCGACCGAACTGGAAGCATAGTGGACTACCAGAGAGGTCCAGGAAGAATCCTCGACTATTCTCAAGTCGACACGATCGGGAACGACCTGAAGACAAACTTCGACTATTCTCCGCCTGCTAGTCGGGACTTCTTACCGTCGTATCAACTCAAGGGAACAAGGAAACCAGAAACTAGTCGAAGCTACCAAGAGAGATTCTACTCGAGCGACAAATCTGGATCCCCTTACCAAGATTCGCCAATTATTCGAGTTCAGAAGATCAACGATCCGGGATACGGAAGCCAGAGGAACAAGGACTTCGAAGACGCGTATCGAAGGCCGAACGAGTTTACCAACCAGTTTCAACCATCTTACGCGCCCACCGTACCAACAGTTACCACTACAACCAGGAGGTTCTATTCCCCGACTGTTCCCACGATGTTCAGATCATCTACCTTGGCGTACAACAAACTGGACCAGGTGATAGACAGCTCTGACTATTATTTCTCACGCGATAGGACCAACAGTTTCGTCACTCCCTCTACCAGAATTTTCACGAGCCGAGGTAAGGATTTCTCTGGAAGAGACTCGAGGAAGTCGGTAGCTGTCCCTTTGAGGAAATCGAGCAGAGACGACGAGTACGTCAAGCAGGCGAGTTACGAATACGATTACGAGGATACCGACAGCGAGGAGAAAACGAGGGAAGAACGGCCGAGCGAGAGATTCCAAGTGCGAGTCCTCGACAACTTTAACCTCAATCGTACGAAAGTGGCGAGAGTAGGAGAGAGTTCTCTGTTCGAGGAAGCTTACGGACGATTCAGGGACCGCGACAATTTCGATTCCGCGGACGATTTCGAAGCCAGGGGCAGCATCGGCCTAGGCCAAGCGTTGCATCAGTCTTACAGAGGGATCTCGGTTAGCCAACAGAATCCCGTGAAGGTCAAGACGAAAATTCACGACGAGTTCAACTCTCGCACGGAAGAAGTGAGGCACACGTTGGCCAAACCGGAGTCCGCGTATTATTCTGAAGAGAAGAAGGAGCTGACAACCGAACAGTACCAAAGAGACGATCAAAGAGACAACGAAGAAACGAGGAAGGAAGAAATTCCGAGCAATTCGAACGGTTTTCTGTCGACCACCACTCCGTCGGTTATTGAAAGCACCATTCTTCGCGAATCTTCGCATTCTTCGATATCGGAGAGCGATCCGGCGAATTCCAGCGTTGTGAATTCTGAATATTCAAACGAGAATGAGAAGGTATCCATCGATGGAGTGATCGGTGATTTCCAAACGTCTAGACCAGTCGAATTCTTAGAAACCCCCTTGGAGAGAACGCAGAGTAAGTTTCAGATAAAGGTGCCAGATCTATTTGAAGGCTCTACTTTGTTGATTCGTTACACGACCCAGCACGATGCGCCTTATTCATCGAGCACGACTGAATTGCCAAGCTTCGAGGGCGTTAATTCTGACGATTACATCGATCAGTCTACTTCTCTCGACGAAATCGCGGCGATAACGAACAACCATAGGGGCACAGAGATCTCTGGAGACTCCAGTTTCCAGAACCATCCCACTACAGTGGCTAGCACCTTAGTATCTTCGACTGGATCGTGGTTCTCTTCCTCTCTTCGGGATCAATCAAATGCCAATCGAATTCCTGCGAAAGATCACTCTGCAGGCAGAGCTGAAGCAGATGCACCTGTGAAAGCCAAGAATGGCACCGAGAACGAAAGGAAAATCGTTAGGATTGAACTTGACTTTGGCGCAGACAGAATTGTCGATATTCAGAATTCGAACGCAGAAGGTGGAATGCCTCCGGGACTTGTGAGCTCGATTGGAACGTCCGAGGAAGGCTTGACGCGGCGATTTAATGAGACTTTGGCGTTTCCAGCGATTAAATCCATCGACATCGAGTCTTCAGTCGCTCAAAGGAGCGTAGACGAGTCGAAGAATGACAATGACGCAACAGAGGTCTCGACAGGGAACGCTTTACTCAGATCCAGCAGGCCGGAAACCCTGAGGCACATCGAGGAGAGTATCGATAGGAACAACTCGCCTTATCAAGTGACGTTGACGATGAACAAAGACGAGGAGCTGGTGCCAACAGGGCGAGACATAATCAGCAAACTGATAGCCCGGCAAGGTAAAGAGACCTCGAGTTTCAGCGACGAGATACACGAATTGGAGATAATCAAATCTGTAGAGCCGGAGATTCGCAGAACCACAGAGTCGCAAACCACCACTGTGAACGATACTACCGATGTGGACCTAACTGACATCAAGAGAAACGATCCGAATATGATCAGCCTTCTTCAGTTGATGTCAGAATTGCTGAAGCTAGACCGAGTTCCTCGGCCGTTCTCCTTGTCGGACGCTGAAAGTTCGAGGCCGAATGCTCGTCCGCAGAGTCCGCTGGGAACCATCGCCAAGGACGTGAATTCGAACGCGGAACAGCAGGACGAAGCGACGTTCCCCTCTCAGGAGACTTCCACTTCCACGGAGTTGAACTCGAAGACTTTTGCCTCTCGGTCGAAAGAGGAGATTCTGGGTCAGCTGGAGGAGAATTTCGGAGAACCTCTTTACAGAGATGGTAAACGAAGCTCCCTCGAGCTACCTGAGAAAGAGAGATCGGTTGAGTTTCAGGCTCGAGTTCCTCTCGAGAGGGCGAACGAGCACGGAGAAGAATCGAGTACTGATAAGACGATCGCATCAACGAGTTCTAAGGTGGATGTTGAGTCAACGACGACGAGTATCACGTCTACGCCGGATGTCACGTCTACCACGGAATCTGGCAAGACCGTGGTGAAGACGGAATTTGTCCCGTCGATTGGATTCTCCCTTGATACCGACGAAGGTAGAGAGGAGTACGTGGAGGCTGTTCTAGGTGGTTTGATCGAGCCGCAGACGGTAGAAAGTGTAAAAGAAGAGACCATTCTAGAGAAGAAATCGGAGGGAGGGATGTCTTCGAGAAAGAACGAAACAACGAGAAACATCTCAGGAAAGAATTGAAGGTGGTTTCTTAGGATCTTCTAGGAACGAACTTAGGTTTAGAATGAAATCTGTGATGTCCTGTTGTTTACACTTCTGTTTCTTTTTTCTTTTTCTTTTTAGATTTCTGCGACCATTTTTCCTTCTTGTTCTTTCTAATTCCGTGACCATCTTTCTTTCTTGTTCTTTCGCTCTATTCCTTTTCGATCAATGAGCAATGTGAATTTGAGACTTTGGTAAATTGACGTTCCTTCCTTCGTGACTTGAAAATGTAATGGATCTTTGAACGATTGCGAGAATAATTAAATCAGTTGATTGTCACAGTGATCAAGGTGTAATTGGTACTTCTATTTTCATAAATATATAGATCGTTGCTTAACATATTCGATTACATCATCTTGTTCGATTCGATGTTACATCTTGCATTAGTTTATTTGAACGAACAAATAATTTTTCTCAAAATCACTTCATTATTTTATTAACAAACATTTAACATTTCGTATCTCAAATAATTTTAACGCGCTTGTAGAACTGATCATTTCATATACAACTATCAAATATTTCAGAATGAATTTGAATTAAAATATAATTAGAAT